TAGGTCTTCTCCTTCTTTGTTAAGGGTCTTTTGAATTGACCTATCCTTTGGCAAGGGTATGTATGTGTTAAAAGGCTCCTACCACTATTGTGGTGCTGTCTATATCTTTCTTCAATTCTAGTAACAGTTGTTTTAGGTATTTAGTAGGTCTGTCATTTGGTGTAGAGATGCTGACCAATGTAACATCTTTTTGATCTAGTGTGCCTTTAATCGTTATATAGTCCCTTTTATGCTGACTTTCATTTTGAAGTCTATTTCATCAGAGACTAGTATTCCTTCTTGATGGACACTATTTGCTTGGTACAATTTTTTCCAGCCTTTTGATTTTGAGTCTTATCTATTTCTTCATTTATTAGATGTGTCTCTTGTAGACAACATATTGATGGGCTTTATTTTTTTAGTCTGCTACTCTTTTCCACTTGATTGGTACATTTAGTCAGTCACATAAAGTGTGACTATTGGCAGGCCAGGTTTTTTCGTGCCATTTGCTCTCTTTCTGTTATTGTTACTGTAGTCCATCCACTTTCCTTTGTTGTCTCTGTGTGAAGGACTTCCCTTAAAAATTCTTATAGATTTGGTCTTCTTTTCACAAATTTTTTTTATTTTATTTTTTTCTCTTCTTTAAAGGATGTGATTTCTCCTTCCTATTTAATGGAGAGTCTTGCTGGGGATAGGATCCTCAGTTGGCAATTGTTCTCTTTCAAATTTCTGTATATGCCATCCCGTTTGCTTTTCCTTTGTAAATGACTCTGTTTTTCTTGTACTGCTTTCAGTATTCTATCCTTATCTTGCATTTTGGTGAATTTTACAATGATGTGTCTTCACATTTTCCTTTTTGGGTATAATCTATTTTGTGTTCGTTGAAGCTTCCTGAATGTGGATTTCCTTGTTCTTCATAAAACTTGGCAGGTTTTCTTCTACTACCTCTTCCACAGTTTTCTCCTTAATATTTCTTCTTCTTCTTCCTCCTCCTCCTCCTCCCTCTTCCTCCTCTTCCTCCTCTTCTTCCTCTTCCTCCTCCTCTTCCCCTCCCCTCCCCCCCAAATTCTTGAATTCTAATCATATGTATGTTACTCCTTTTGATGTCATCCTACATGATTCTTCATGTCTCATCTCTGATTTTCCTTCTAGTATATTTCCATTTAGGTTCTTTTCTTCTAGCTCACTGACTCTGCTCCATCTGTTCTCTTCTACTTTTTTATCCTTCCAGCATTTTAGACACTTCTGCCATTTCAGTCTTAATAGTCTGGGTTGCATTTTCATTCATTTCTGTTATTTCTAGTACTGTGTTGGCAGTACCTTCTCCATCTTGTGATGATTTTTTTAAGTTCTTGTACCTCCTTATCTACAGCTTCAGTTCTTTCTTCCATTTATTGCATTTTCTTCTGTATTTTTGGAAATTCCTCCTCGTCAGTTTATTTCTTCTGGCTCTGTGTCTCTGAAACTTTTGCTTTTTTTGGTTGTTTCCATGGTTTCTTCCATCATTTGCACCTTCTTTCATAGCTGTTCAAATAACTCTTCATCGGTATAATTTCTGGTTCTCTACCGCTAGGTTATTCCCATTATTTTTGGCTTCCCTTGTTTTCTCCATTATTTATACATTCATTTGTAGCTGTTCAGTTGTCTCCATATCACATGAATAGTTTGTCTTCTTGTTTCTGGGGTACTCATGAGGTCTCTAGTATTATCTGCTTTTTTTTAGAGAGAGCTTAGTTTGTGTTTCACAGTGGTTGAAGCTACCTGCTGTTTTCTTGACATTATGTGAAGTTTTTCTTGATAAGTATTAGGTCGTTTCTATTGTGTCTGCAAAGGTTGTTGCTAGTTCTTGTCTTTATAATGTTGTTCATTAGTCACCAAGTTAAAAATGTTCAGTCCATGGGGTGAGCTATTCACTGTACTGTAAGTCCTTTCTGGGAAAATTTGCCCTTCCTAAAGTTCTTGAGGTTCTGTTTTGCCCACTACAGCCCTGTAGGAATCTTGCCTTGATTTAGTTTCCTTAACACCATACTATAGGCCTCCTTCATGTATGAAGTGGTTGAGTAGTGTGAGACCAAGTGCTCTACTCAAGCAGTTTCTCTTGCATCTTTTCACTTGGAGCTTATTGTCTTCCTTTGTCTCTGAAGTGGCTTAGGATAAGAGATCAGGGCTGTCAGCTCAAACAGCTTGAGTGAAGGGGGGTGTCTCAAGTAGGCCCTCTACTCTCTCCCAAAGAGCTATGAAAATTCTTTACTCTTCTTGAAGTTTTTTATACTAAAGGCTTTTGTTCTGGTTGGCCCCTGGGATGGCCCCGAAGGAGTGGAAGCAAGGATCCCCAGATAGAGAAATCTGTAACCCCAGGAATGCCTCAGTCCTTTGTCCCTGCAGGCATTGGAGAGTGCTCACTCTTGGCACATACTCTTCCATCATCCCTTCACCCTTTATCCTTTAGCTTAATGTCCTCCTTTGTCTTGGGTGTAGTGAGAGATCAGAATCACCAGCTCAGACAGCTTGTCTGCAGAGCCTCATGGGTCAGTCCTCTGTTGCAGAGAGCTAAGAAAACTCTTCTACTTGAAGTTCTAGATACTAAAGTCTCTTGTTCTGCTTGGCTCCTGGAATGGTCCCACAGCTGAGGAGGCAAAGACCCCCAGATGGAGGGACCTATAAACCCAGAACGCCTCACTCCTATCTCCCCACAAGCAATGGAAAGTGTTGCTCATTGCACAGAGCCTCACCTCCCGCTAGGCCAGATTTTATCATTGCTTTTTTGCTATGTTTCTTTTTCTGTTGTTACTAGTTGCTTTGATCCATATATTTTCCTTTGCTGGCTTTGTGTGAAGGACTTCCCTCGGCATTTCTTATAGAATTCGTCCTGTTTTCACGAATTCCTTTATTCCTGGTTTATGCAAGAGTTAATTTCTCCTTTATATTTGATGGACAGCTTGTTGAGTACAGCTGGTGGTTGTTTCCTTTCAAACCTTCTTTACATTTATTATTTTTTTGCTTGCATGGTTTCTGCTGAGAAATCAGAACTTAATCTTATTATTCGTTCTTTGTAAGTGACTCTGTTTTTCTCACACTGCGTTTAGTATAGCTTTAATTTTGGAGAATTTGACTGTAATATAGCTTAATGTTTTTCTTTTGGGATCTGCTCTGTCAAGAGTTAGCTGAGCTTCTTAAATGTTGATTTCCTTGTTTTTTATGCTACCTGAGACATTTTCTTCTAGTACCTCTTCCCCAATTTTCTCAATATTTCTTTCCCCATCCTCCCATATTGTAATTTCAATCATACATACTTGGTTCCATTTGATATGATCCCAAATAATTCCAATATTTTCTTCATTTTCCTTCTTCCAGTGAGTTTGCATTGAGGTTCTTCTTTTATAGTTTGCTCATTGTCTGTACTATGTCTGATACTCTGTTTTTTTGTTCCTCCAGCATGTTGAAAAATTTTGCCTTTTCTTTCTTGATATTCTAGTTTGCATTTCTGTTGTTTCTAATACTGTGGTAATTGTACACTCTCTGTCTTGTGATGATTTTTAAATTTCTTATATCTTGTTACTTATAGTTTCAATTCTTTCTTCCATAATTTGAAATTTCTTTAATAACAGATCAGGTAACTTCATGTCAATACATTTCTTCTGCATCCCTGTCTCTGGGGCATTCCCTGGCTCTGCAGTCTGGTCACCTTTTTTAGGAAGAGGCTTGTTTTGTTTTTCCATAATGTTTGAAATGCCTGCTGCTTCCTTGACATTATGGGAATGCTGCTTTTATATATGTAAGTCAATTTCTTTTGTGTCTGTGTAGGTAGTTGTCATTTCCTTATCTTTATGATCCCATTGATTGCAGAATTTTAAGTGTTGCCTCCATTCAGTTTCTCAGTGGCAGGCTTTCCTGCTGGTTGTCTCTGGGCATCTCTGTTCCATGTTTCCTGTGTCAGACTTCTCATCCTGTTGTCTTTTGAGGACCAAGGAGCTGAGGTCTCTCCTTTTGCGTAGGTGTGGTGGTCCCACTTCTCTGCCCTGTCCTGTAGTTTGATGAGAGGGGCTGTTTCCCCAGGGTTAAACAAAGTACCGAGAGTGCTACCAGGGTATATTGGTCAGAGAAAAGGCCCATGGAATTGATATGGTCCTAACAGTTCAATCCCCAAGTCTTAATGGATGTTAATGCCCACCCATAAACCTGTCACCTCTTCTGTGGCTAGTTGGGAGGGAGTTGATCCCACAAAAGTAGGTAAAGGCCCAGGAAGTGGTAAGGTTCCAACAGTTCAGTCTCAAAGTCACAGTTGGTGTTAATGGCCTACCCAAGTACCTGCCTCCTCTCTGTAATATTGTATTGATATATCACCTGGTTAAATTGGTGATTACAGAGTAGTAACTCTTATCAAATAGGCAGTATCCCCATGTAAAGATAGAAACTAATAACTAAAAGGATTGTAGTATTTAAATTGTGGCAGTACGTTTGTATTACACTTTTAATTATTTTTAAAACAAGACAAATATATTATTGAATTCAAATGAAGTGATCTTTTTTATGCATTTTGAGTTTTGCATTTCTCTGGAAATTCTTTATTGGTGTTTGAGTCATTTGTTCATAAATCCAAATAGCTATATTGGTTCAGGTTTTCATACTTTTATTTGGTAATTACTAGTTCAAAACATGTCAGTGAGAAATATTTTAAAAATGTTTAAGGAACCTCTATTGAGTGAAAGAAAATAAAAATGGAAAGTAAAATATAAATGTTAAATATGGAAAGGCTGTATGTGATGGAGTGTGCTGGAGAGCGATTAATTTGGAAAAGGTCAGGTAACAACTTAAGAAAAATGTTGGCTACTTTAACTTACCCTGGAATTATTTTAAGATTTCAGTTGAGATAGGAAAAGAAGGTAAAAAAGGAGACATGACAATCACATTGTCAAAATAAATGTTGAAATTACAGAATGAATGTAGTCCAAATAGTTCGTACCTTGTGAGTGTTTGACTCTGTAATGAGTTGTGGTTTGTATTTTATTTTCCTTATCCAGGAATTGCCACAAGCAGTTTGTGAGATCCTGGGGCTTCAGGAGAGTGAAGTGTCAACGCCAGATTCAGACACGGGTGAAGATGAGAATACTGTCATAACTGGTTGTACACCATCTGCATTTCACAGTAACTCCTTGCTTGGCTATGCTGCCAGAGGATCTAGAGAGGATAGCCCAGCACAGATGTCAGTATCTCCAGATGTCAGCAGATTAACACCTGCATGATCATTTATCTTAATATTTGAAGAGACACTTTGCTTTACCTTTTTGCAATTACTTGAAAGATGGATATTTAAAATCTTGGTATTGATCATGCTTTAAGGTTTATGGAAAGAAAGTGTACTGTGATGTTCTTGCATTAAAGCTTTACAAAGATTTAAACTAATTATTTTTGTATTTACTTCTACCAAATAGCCTTTCCTTTTCAGTAACATTCCTTAATATTTTTATAGCCAAGTACATTTTATTTTCTTGCTGATGAACTGGAATTGGATAATATTATAAGTGAATGCGTTGGAAATTATGCACTTTGAAAGCATTCACTTTGTTTACTCTTAAGCTTACTGGGTTTTGGATTTGATTGAATATTGAGGCTTTCTACAGCTTTCTAAGCTAAGAAGTACATTGCTACCTGGCGACAAAGTAAAGAAATAAAAGGAATTGTTTTTCTCTATTGTTTACAAAAATACTCAGCTTAAATATTCTGGTTGGATGTGACTTTAAATGACTTAAATTGGACATTTTCATCAAAACAGTATAATTTCTAGATAGAATTATTTCAACTCCAAGTGGATTGGTGACATATATTTTACATTGAACTTTCCTTCACTTGTATATAAAGATTATAAATAACTACTTATTTATGACTATAAGAAAGGATAGGCATATTTTCTTTAATGGAATAAACTTGACTATTGATTTCTACAATCTGATTTGACAAAATTAATACATAGCTTCAATATGAGATCTTTTCAAAACTATTTTCTTACCCAAACATTTATTTCAGGAGGCTACATCCAACCCTGTACCTGGTGTAATTTTAAAACTAATTGCTTTTAACTTTACTAATAATGTTTATTCTATTTCCTAATAATGCATTAACTGATTAATCAGGCCTTTAAATTTTTATAAAATATTCTTTGAAAAATACTTATGTCAAAAATTTTAAGACTTTACAAGTTCAAATAATACTTGTTTTGTATATGAATAAAACTGTTGTTTTTACCATGCAATGTTGCATGATTTTAAGTTATGTGGAATTAACCTGATTCCATTTTAATTGTGTCTTATTAACTCTGTATATATCATTAAAATAAATTTAAAGTTGAAATGAAGTATTTTCAGTTGAATTACACTGAGAAGTGTCTCCTCCTGGTTCTTTTCTCAGAGAATGTAAATCTTCCTATCTCAGATTTTTGTTTTTAAAAATTCACTGGAGTTATAAGAGTGAGAAAGAAACACAGCCCTTTGTATAACTGGGAAAAAAATTATCAGCTTGAAATTGGATAGTGTTGCCCTGGAGAGGAGGGTACAGTCTTTAGACTGAATAAAGGAGCTCCCCACAGTTGATGTTTATAGTATAAAAGGAAAGTTACACAGTTCTCAAAAGGTTAGTAAACTTCCCTACCTTCCTGAAAGTTAGGAAATGGAATGAACTTTTTCCCTTGTTTAGCATTAGCTGACGGTTATAACCGAAGAACCATTAGATTTTAGTTTTTAATATCATGTGTATGTTATCTTTCATCATTTAATAATGAGTAAGCCTGTTCAGAGAGAGAAGAAAAGTAAACTGATCAAAAGCTCAATATCTCCAGTCTTTCATTTCCTGCTATTCAGGAAATTGCTTAGAACATCTTGATGTCCTCCTTGTTCTTCCTGGACAGTGGCTTTTTGTGAGTTTTTTTCCTACTACGTAATGTGATACCTACTTTGGATTTTTTTTTTAAATACTTAGTAAATTTAATAAGTTGAACTTTGCCAAATTTTAGTATAAACTACTAGTTAAAACACTTTTTACCGAATTGCTTACATTTTATGTACACCTTTTTATGTGAAAGTAATACTACTAACACTAATCAGTGTTCACATAATCCACTTAGCAGATACAGTGGAAACTTGAGCTATTGAGATTATAAAATAAAATATTCAACTGTATTTGTTCTAATTTTTTAAAGTCTTGTTACTGATTTTACAAGATGCTTTAATGTGTAAAAAATCAATATATAAAGTTGAAATTCATAAAGTTTCTAGTCAAAGTATTTCTCAATTCAGATATGAATCTATTGTTGGATATCACTGAGTTGCTTATAACTTCAAATCCTTTTGAAGAGATCTGAACCTTAATTTATCCTGTGCTGTCACCACAATCCATTCAGATTCATTGTTGTAGTTACTCTGTAAGTCCTTCGAGTTGGGGGTCTTCCTCTGTTTCTTTGAGCCTCTGCCTTTCCAGCATGATACTGTTTTTTAAATAATGGTCCTTCTGATAACATGCCTGAAGTATTTGAGATGCAATTTCACCATCCTTTCCTCTAAGGAGCACCCTAGTTGCATTTCCGCCAAGACAGACTTGTTTGTTCTTCTGGCAGTCCATGGGACATTCTCCAGCACCACACTCGAAAGGCATTGATTCTTCTGTTATTACTCGTTGTCCTGCTTTCCAGTTCAAGAAATCTTTTAAAGCCTCTTTTTATTGACGATTCTGTTTTGATTGTGTCATGTGTCTTTCATTGTTGTTATCTGCCGTTGAGTCAACTCTGACTCAAAGGGACCCTGTGTACAACAGCTCTGAACCCTGCTCTATTCTGAGCCAATTTGATCATCTCTGACACACCTACCCCCAAAACCCCAGTCACCAAGACTATCTCATCTAGGGTCTTTCTCTCTTGCACTGTCTCTTCATCCTTCCAAGCATGATTTTCCTTTCTAAGGACTGGTCCATTCTTAAAACATGCCCAAAGTATGTCAGGCAGAGCTTCAAAATCCTTGCTTCCATAGGAGCAGCTTGGTTTTACCCTCTCCACGATAGACCTGTTTGTTCTTTTAGCTGTCCATGGTATATCCAGTATTCTTCTCCAGCACCACAACTCAAAGGCATTGATAGATAATTCTTCTGTCATCTTTGATCATTGTCTAGCTCTCTGATGCATAACAAGTAACAGGAAGACCATGGCCTTTATCAAGTGCACCTTAGTCTCTAAACTGACATAATTTCTTCTCAGTACTTTGGGAAAGTCCCTGACAGCATATTTTCCCATTGCAATTTGTCTTTTCATTTCCTGGTTGCTGGTACTGAGAGTGTTGATTGTGGAGCATGGAAGCTGAAGCTATTAACAATCTCTTCACCATCTATCGTAATGCTGCCAATTGGCCCAGTGGTGAGAATTTTTGTTTTCTTGATGTTGAGTTTCAGTCCATATTAAAAACTGCAGTCCTTGACCTTCTGCAGCAAATGCCTCAGAGCCTCCAAGGTTGTGTCATTTGAATAATGAAGATTGTTGTTGAGCCATCCTCTAATCATAATGCCATATTCCTCCTCATAGATAGAGCTCAGCCCTCCAGATGATCTGTATATAGATTGAAAATGTCTGGAGATCGGATGCATCCCTGACACATTTTGAACCATGCAGGGTTTCCCTGCTCTATTCTGATGACCTGCTCCTGGTCCAAGTACGGGTTTTGTATTTGATTGTGTCAAATGTCTAGGACTATTTAGAACTAGGAACTTCAGTCTTAGGGATTTTTAATGACTTAAATGACTTAAATCTACGATCTTTCATGGATGCTCACTAATCACTGGATCAGGTACAGACTTTTAATGAGCTTAGTGAAATGAAAGTTTGGAAGTTTACATATACCCAGAGGTACCTTAGAAGAAATGCCTGGCAGTCTGCTTTCAGTTAACAAGCAATTGAAAAACCCTATGACTCAGGATTACACGATTACACTGTGACACACAGGGGTCACTTGAAGACCGAATGGGCTGAATGATAACTGGTATGCAAAAGATCCGAATTCAGTTAATAGTGTACCTCATACACACCTCCCACCCCATGTCAGTGGATGTGGCAGATTAAAATACTGAACAAGTTACAGCAGAATTTTCAGACAAACTAGAAACGGAGGCCTAGTGCTCTCCAAAAATTCACCAGTGAAATTGGTATAGATGAGACCAGTCTGAGATGCAACTCAGGGATGGTGCATGATAATGTATATTAATTAAAATATTTTTAATGTTGTTCTTTCCAGATCTTTGATGTAATGGATTTAATTGTGTATTACCCCAAATATGTGTTAACTCGATTAGGTCATCATTCCTAGAATTATGTGGTTGTCCTGTGATCTAATTATCCTTCATTTCTCAATGTGTTATCAGTCCCCGCTTCTAAAGATTAATGAGACAATCAGTGTGGAGTGCACCGAGGTAAACCATATCTTTACACTCAGACCCTTTCTTGAGTCACATCTTTTATCTTAAAAGAGGTAAAGGGAGAGGGAAGCAACTGTGTTTAGTACCTTTGAGGCCCAAGTCAATTGGAGTTCTACCCTAGACCCATTGATGTTGAAAGGAGACAAGGACTTTCCCCCCTAGAGTCAGTGCCCTGAATTTGAGCTTTTAGCCTAAACTGTGAGAAAATACATTTCTGTTTGCTAAAGCTTCCCTTTGTGGTATATTTATTATCTCATTGCTGCTGAGTTGGAACCCACTCATCTGACCCTCTAGTGTGCTTTCTGAGGCTGTAAATCACACCGGAGATGGCTCATCTTCCTCTCTCAGAACTACTGGTGGATTTGAACTGCTCCCTCCAAACTATGCCTCCTTAGCTCCCATAGAATCTTTGGATGCAAGGTCAAGGGAGCCTGCATTTCAACAGGTATCTTGGTAATTCCCTTTATGTTAAAGAGCTACTCATATGTTTCATATGTTAATGTTTTGATTTCTGGTCAGACAACTCCGGAAGGTTTTAAGGTGGTACTTTGATTTTTACTGGGTGGATTTGTGCTAGTTCTGGCTACCATCTTTAGTGAAAAATGACGTCGTTTATGTAGCATTCCCTCAATGTGTTTTGAAAAAAAAACACAATGGTGCTTAAATTATGAACATAAAACAAGATTAAATTTGAAGTGAATCTAAATGGTTTATACCAGTACTTAATGTCATTGCCTGAGAGTAAATGTCTACATTTATTTGTACTTATAATTTGAGGACATACTGCTTTTTGAGGATTACAGCAATATTTGGCTTGATTCTATCTTTAGACCTTAAAATACAGTGATATTAAGTTGTAAATTTGTAAAGATTGTTCTAATACCCTTGATGATTTGCATATGCACTCATTTTATTAGGTTGTTCATTTTGATAAAGAACATTGGATGCAAAAGGTGGGATAGAATGTTCGGCTGGCTCTACTACTACTTTGTTTTAGATTTGCGAAGTACCTTCTGTAATCTATGAGAAATTAAAGTGATTATGAATTACCATAAAACAAATTTGAATAAGAAAATATAATTTAGTCCATACAGATAAAATCTTTTAGGGTAATAAGTAAGCAATATGCTTTTCTCTTTTAAATATCTATAATAGTGTGTTATTGTAATATGTGCAATACAACAGATAATGAAAACAAACTGTAATAAGCTTAGTTATGTTTAAGTCAATCAGGACCTGGTGTGGGCCCTGACAGTCTCTAGTTTGGAGGCTCATGCATGAAGCAGTTGGATTCTATAGGGTCGCTTCTCTTGATTTTTGTTGGGTGTAAACTGTTGGGTCATGTTTTATTTCACAATTGTGTGTAAGCTCATGTATTTAGTTAAAAGTCATTTGGACCAGGCCCTCACTCCTGGTGTGTATCGTGTCTAGGAAGAACATTTTTCTAGGTGGTATGGCACTGGTCTGTCAGTTTGCTGTACTGAGCAAACTTGGATTGCTGTGATACTGGATTTGTGTATCAAATGCCATAATGGTGGACCAGGGGTTGGTAGAGCTCCCGGATTTCAGGCTTGGAAGCAGGATTGATACCCAGTTCTTAAACAACAGGACTTTGGAAACTATGAACATTAGAGATACGACGATATTTATGGAACAGGGTTCAGATCTTTTGTTCACGGGGTCTTACTTGACCTGATGGCACTTAACAACAATAACAAGTTCTGATCGGTGGGCAGTCCAGGTCTGTTACAGCTTTGTTAATTCTAATTTTGTTAATTGCGGTTGTTAGGTGTCATTAGGTTGAATATCACTCAGAGACCTGTGAACAACAGGTCTGAACTTGGCCCTACACCCTCCTCAACATCTCTGATATACTTGAGCCCATTGTTCCAGTCATTCTATC